TTCTTCAGAAAATTTTCTGAAGAAGGGTCCAGGCCCGAAACGTCAGCTTTCTTGCTCCTCTGATGCTGCTTGGCCTGCTGTGTTCATCCAGCTCTACACCTTGTTATCTCTTTTACCAGGATGTTGCCAGGATTGAAGGGTTTGAGATATAAAAATAGACTGGAAAAGCTGGGATTTTCTTCCCTGGAATGTAGGAGCGAGTTGAGGGGTGACCTTAGAGGTTTATAGAATCATGAGAGGCATAGAAAAGGTGAATGACAAGGTTCCTTTTCTTAGAGTGGGGGAAGTTCAAACTAGGACATATATTTTAAGGTGAGAGGAGAAAGATTTAAAAAGGATACAAGAGGCATATTTTTCACACACAGTGGTTCATGTGTGGAATGACCTGCCAGAGAAAGCAGTGGATGCAAGTACAAGTTACAAAGTTTAAAAGACATTTGAATAAGTTTGTGACTTGGAGAGGTTTAGAGGGTATGGGCTGAGTGCAGGCAGGTGGAATTAGTTTAGTTTGGTCAGCATGGACTAATTGCACCGAAGGGTCTGTTTCTGTACTGTATGACTCTGACTCTATAACTCTATAATACCACTAGGTCATTGCCTCCCTAATTACATTAGTGAACCAGATATGTTTTTCTGACAGTTGACACTGAATTCATGCTCATTATTTGACTCTTAATGCCAGACTTTTATTGAATTCAAATTCCACCATTTGCTGTGTGGGATTCTAACCTAGTCCCCAGAACGTGGCCTGTGTCTCTGAATTAATAGTCCAGCCTTAATATCACTAGGCCTTTGCCTCCCTAGATAAAGAACTGAATTCCCGAGGTGAGGAGAGAAACACTGTCCTTTACATTAAAACAGCAATTTACCAGGTATGACATTAAGGACCCAGAATATAATCAAAATTAATGAGGGACGCTTTGAATTCATACCTGACCCAAGGGAGAAGTGTTGGAGACCAGCCCCAGGACATTGTTATAAGAGTTCCCAGGATAGATATTTTTCTAATGTTACACCTCTGGAATAGGTGGGACTTGAACCTGGGCCTCCTGGCTCAGAACTGGGGAGACTACCACTGTACCATAAGAGTCCAGCTCCTCAGGAAATATATATTTTTTTCTCCACCATCAGGTAAACATCAATGTTGCCAATTGAATATGTATATACAAAGCCTGCTAAGAGCAGTGCTAACCTCAAATAGTGAGGGGTTGGTGGTGTAGGGGGTAAGGGAAGGGATTAAGTAAAAATGAAGTTGAAGGGGGAAATAAAACGCTGTATCCCTCCCCCCTCCCCATAGTGTGCAGGCTTTGAGAACATTGAATTCCTCAAGATAGTGCCATAAACTCAACCATCTTCAACTGCTTCACCAGAGACCTTACCTCCAGCATATAGTCAGAAGTGCAGGTGTTTGGTGACTACTGTGTTCAGATCTATTTTGCACTTCTTTAAACTGAAGTAGTTCATGTCTACATTACGGATGCAAATAATATTGTTTTAAAAAGTACCTGTTTAAATGATTAAAGTTCTCGGTTCTCTGAAAAGAGATCTGATATCTTTGTTCTGGTTGTGTAGTTTAATTTATATCCACCAAAGATGGAAAAGAACTATAGATAAATCTACGGGATCAACAGTAGCAATGGTTTACATAATATCCTCAAACATTGCAAATGTTTTTCCAAAAAAGCCACTTTTCTGGCATTTTTCTAATCTGTTTTAAACTATAGTTGCAACACATTTAATAGTAAGACCAATTCTTATTGATGATCATTCACTACTTTTCACCCCTAGCCTGCATGCAATATGATCTGTGCAGCATTCGGAATTGGATTTATATTTGGCAATCATGTCACAGAATGCTTAGGTAATTACCATCTCCAATAAGAGCGTCGGACCATCCCTGTTGAAATTCAGTGGCATTACTATCAGGTTCTCCACAATCAAGATCCTAGGGGGTCATGACTGACCAGACATTTCATTGGATCAGCCAAAGAGATTTGTGGCTGTAAGATAGGTCAGAGATTGAAAACTCTGCAGCTAATGTATCTCCTAGCTTCCTCCAAAACCGTCCCATCATGTACAAGGCACAAATCTGTAGTGTGATGGAATATTTTCCACTGGTCTAGATGAATGCAGCTCCAAGAACATGAGATTCTGCTTGATCAGCACGCTTTTACTCCTGTGTCAAAAGTTTAATGCATCTGTGTACCATCTTTAAGATTAACCACATCAACTCACTGAGACTTATGGCAGCACCTCCCAAATTTGTGACCATCTATAAGAACAAGATGCCTGGGCTAATACAGCCACCTAAGTTCCCATGCTATATCTGAAATACATTCCTTTCTTGCCTTTGAGTTAAAGTTGTGGAACTCCCTACTTAATGGAATAAAAGTACAATCACTAAACAAAATGCAGCTCAGTAGTTAGTACTGCTGCCTAACAGCACCAAGGACCTGGTCTTCTAGTCTTGGGTGACCGTGTGGAGTTTGCACGTTCTCCCTGCGTCTGTGTGGGTTTCTTCCCACAGTCCAAGGATGTGCAGGTTAATTGGCCATGCTAAATTGCCCATAGTATTCAGGGATGTGTAGGTTAGGTGGATTAGCCGAATGCAGGGTTATAGGGATAGGGTGGGGGAAGTGATTTTGTGTGAGATGCTCTTCGGAGAGGGAGTGTGGACTTGTTGGGCCGATTGGCCTGTTTCCACATTGTAGGGATTCGATTCGAGTCTAAAGAAGACCACTGAGTACAAAAAGAAATGGTCAATAAATGCTGGTCTTTCTAGTAGAACCCTCCCGTGAATGAATAAATGGAAAAAACTGAGAATGGGCGGGTGCTATGGATTGATTTAAGATGTGTGAGAACGTAAAATTTTGTTTTGGTGCTTGAAGAGCTGTAGAACTTGGTCAGGATGAGATGTCTGTCATGTGTGACTTTGTTCAGTTGAAGATGCGAACAGTAGAGTTCTTAATGATCGCAAGTTGGTAGAGATGGGATGCTGCATAGAATGATATAAGACAATGTAAGCCCGTGATTGGTAAAGGCGGGGATCATGTTTTAAGCAGTAGTTAGGTGTTGGAGATTTGCGGTGGTCTAAGAATGTTTTGTAATGTAACAGAATAACTTGGAGGAAGGAATCTTGCTGTAAACTCAATTATGGCTCTGGATATTTGGACTTAATCTGAGGTGTTGGCCAGGTTATGTCCTGGTTTTCAGGATAGAGATGTAGGTGGCAGCAGGAGTAAGATGGTTTTGCTTTTGTCAATGTCACTTCTAAGTGGATTTCATGCTTTCTTTTGAAAACACTTGCTCTCATGTATGCTTTTAGACAGAAAAGTAATGTAATATTTCCTTTCATTATGAAAGCTAGTTAATAAAGATAGAAGTCAAGCGCATCTATATGATAACAAAATCAATGAAATTGCTTTAGGTATGTGAAATAATGTGAAAGGATTTAAAAAGTGAGATGGTGTTGATATTTCTTTTCTGCATTTCAGGTTCGTTTGGTTATTGCAGAAAAGGGTCTAAAATGTGAAGAGTATGACGTTAACCTACCATTGAGTGAGCACAATGAACCTTGGTTTATGCGTTTGAACCCAGCAGGAGAGGTGCCTGTGTTAATTCATGGCGATAACATTATCTGTGAATCCACTCAGATCATTGACTACTTGGAGAACACCTTTGAAGGCGGTAACATCATGTTCCAGTGAAGCACTATATTTCTGTTATAATATAACAATATTACATATCATATAATGAAATCTGTAGCAAAACACTATTATATTTCTAAATGTCTGTGTTTCAGTGTAGATGTCATTTTTAAAGCATGATATGAATAAAAGGCTAGATTTGGTGAATTCATATAGCCCAAGTACCTACCCCTCCACTCTTAGCTGATTTCTTTTTCCCCTTCTCTGGTTTTCTCTTCTAACTTGTCAATGTGGTTTGCCTTGAGGGCTCCTACAGTGAGTCTTGACAGGTTGTTTAATTACGGAGACATCAGGATCAAGACATATCTAATGTCTGCCTGAGCTTTGCACATGCAGGTAATGAACTTGACTTTGGTGTGAACTGGATAATAGAATTGTGCAACCTTAGCCTCACTCTCAGTTTGACCTATCTGAGTGGCAAGACTAGTCTAGATGGCTGGAATTGGTTCTAGATACAGTGGGTGACCAGGATAAAGTGAAGTAGAAAGTAGGAAGCAAGAGGCCAGTTAGCATAATATTTGTCATAAGGAAGGTGCTAAAATCAATTAATAAGGAGGTTAAAGCAGGAGACTTACAAAAATGAGGTGTGATCAGGTAGAGACAACATGGGTTTGTGAAAAGGTATTCCTGTTCCCTATTTGAAATCATTTTATTTGAAAAAGATATAGAATTGCCTTGGAAGCAGTTCAGAGAAGGTTCATTTGCAGGATGAAGAATTTTTGGAATCATAGAATCCAACCATATAGAAGAGGCACCTTTGGCCCATCTGCCTTGATTTTAAAATAACATCTATTCTAATGCTACACGTCTTACTTTCCAGCATTTGGCCCATAGCCTTGAATATTATGACATTTCAAATGTTCATCCAAGTATGTTGTAAGATTTTCTACGTCAAGTGCATTCCAGATTCCCACCACCCTCTGGGTGAAGAAAGGTTTCCTCAAAACCTCTCAAAAACCTTTTATAAGCCTTTCTCCTTAAAATTATGCCTCCTTGTTATTGACCCTTCAACTAAGGGGATCAGTTGTTTTCTATCAACCCTGTCCATGCCCCTCCAATTTTGCATACCTTCATCAGGTACCCCTTAGCTTTCTCTGTCCTAAAGAAAATAAACCAAGCTTATCCAGCCTATCTTCATTGCAAAACAATTCCATCCCAGGCAACATCCTGGTGAAGATCCTCTGCACTGCCTCCAATGCAATCACATCCTTCCTATAGTACCATGATTGGAACTGCACATAGTACTTCAGCTGTGGTGTAACCAAAATCCTGAACAGCTCCAACATAACCTCCCTGCTCTTATCATCAATGGCACAACTTATAAAGGCAAGTGTCTCGCATGTTGTCTTAACTACCCTATTAACCAGTCCTGCCACCTTCAGGGATCTGTGGACAAGTACCCCAAGCTGCTTCTGTTTCTTTTGAGCTTCCTCGTGTCCTGCCATTCATTGAGTACTCCTTTGACTTGTTACTTCTTCCAAAGTGCTTCACCTCATAATAATTAGGGTTAAATTCCATCTTCCACTGATCTGCTCATCTAACCAACCTGTCCATATCCTTTTATAACCTAAGACCTTCTTCCTCACGATTAACGACCTGGCCAATCTTAGTGTCAACTGCAAACTTACTACCTATCATCTACATTTTCTCCCACAAACAATAAGAGACCTAACACAGATCCCTGTGGGATGCCATTGGGCACTGGTCTCTCACATAATCTGTCTTCTTTCACCACTGTCTTCTATCACTAAGTCAATTTTGAATCCAACTTGCAAGTTACCCTGGATCCCATGAGTTTTTAACCTTCTTTCAGCCTCCCGATTGGATCTTGTCAAAGGCGTTGCTGAAATCCAAATAAACTACATCAACTGCCATACCCTCATCTACACACCTGGTCACCACTTTGAAAAATTCAATCAAATCTGTTAGGCTTGATCTCCCTCTGACAAAGTCATGCTGATTATGTGAAGATTAATTCTCTCCTTCAGTAGTTTCCCTACCACTGACATGAAACCTCACTTGTCTATAATTCCTTTGTTTATCCCTTATACCCTTCTCGAAAAGTGAAACTACATTAGTTGTCCTGCACACACATCCTGTCTCGTGCTTTCTACAGTGCTCCAGCAAAGCTCAGCATAAGCTGGACGAACAGCCCCTTATTTTCCGCTTAGGGACCCTGCAGCTTTCTGGATTCAATATCGATTTCAATAACTTTTAGGGCTTGAACTGTTCTACGTCCCGGCCCCGGCCCCGGCCCCACCCCCACACACCAGGCCTTGTGCTCACATTGTCTACTATTACACACAACCCGTTGTTAGCCACTAACAGTCCCCATTAACAGCTATTTACTCTCCCAGCCAGATCGTTATCCACTCCTTCGGCTGTCCAGCTGTTCTTCTGTCTGGGCTCTATCCCCACCTATCATCTTCTCCTTACTCCCTCTCCCACCCTATCTTCTGCATAAAAATGACATTTTCCTGGTTACCATCAGTTCTGAGAAAGGGTCACTGGATCTGAAATGTTAACTCTGATTTCTCTTCACAGATGCTGCCAGACCTGCTGAGCTTTTGCAGCAATTTCTGTTTTTGTTTCGATTTTACAGCATCCACGCTTTTTTATTTTTTAGTTATCCTCCAGTCCTCTGGTGCCTATGAACAGAGAGGAATTAATTTGGATCAGAGCCCCTGTAATTTCCTCTCATCTCTCACAGCAGCCAGGACTGAACTCCGCTGGACGTGGGGGATTTTTCCACTTTAACCCTCAGCAAAACCTCCAATACCTCCTCTCTATGTCAAACTGCACAAGAATCTCTCAGCCCCTTTTCCTGAATTCTGTACCTACATTCTCCTCCTCCTCTAAAGTTGAAGACAGAAGTGAAGTACTAGTTTAACACTGTACCGATGTCCTTCAGCTCCCTGCACAGATTGCCTCCTTGGTCACTAATGGTCCCTAATCTTTCCCTGTTGATATACTTATAGAAAATTTTGGGATTCTCCCTAATCTTACCCTCTTATGTTTTCTCATGCTCTCCCTTTGCCCTCCTAATTGTTTTTGTAAGTGCCCCCCTGCACTTCCTGTACTCCACCTGGAGCTCCATTGATTTGCTCCCTTCGTTTCTGTCAACTTTTCTTTTTCTTCTTGTCTTGTCCTGTCTGTTCCCAGAATTCTCTGGGATTATTGCTCCTATGTTTCACCCTCCAGGAAACATGTTGGGTCTGTACTCTTGCCAATTCCTTTTTGAACACCCTCGACTGTTCTGTGGATTTACCCAGAGGAAGCTGTTCTTGGTCTACTTTAGACGGATCCTGCCTGATTTTAATAAAATCTACCTTCCCACAATCCAAATACGTTTTTATTTTTTGCTGACCATCTTTTTTTCCTTATCCATAACAAACTTTTAAACTGTAGGGTGTTGTGATTGTTATTACTAAAATGCTGTCCCACTGACACCTTAAACACCTGCTGGCTTTGTTCTCCAGCACTGGAGAAGGTCCCTGGTTGGACCTTCTACGTGTAGAAATGAAAAGCTCTCCTGAATATATTTCAAGAGGTCTGCCTCCTCGAAGTCCTTTAAACCATAACTATCCCAATTATTGTTGGGAAAGTTGAAATTTATTATTGTTTTACACACCTCAGTAAACTGTCTACAAAAATGTTCCTCTATTGACTGTTAACTATTTGGGGGTTGAGAATACGTACCCACCAGGACGATTCTCTCTTTTTTTAAAATTCCTAACTCTACCCCCAAAAAAGCTGCATTTGAAGACCCTTACAAGATATCGTTCCTCCTTACGATCGTTAGTGTGGAATTCTCCCTCAATGTAGTGGAAACTGGATCCTTAAATTAATTGAGACCGAGTTAGATTTTTGATTAAACAATGGAGTATGGGTTATGGGTGTAGGCAGGAAAGTGGAGCTAAGACCACAGCTACTTCAGACATTATCTTATTACATTGTCAAACAGGCTGGAAGGGCCTAATAACCTACTCCTTCTGCCATGTTCTATGCATCCAAAAGTTCACAGCTCTGGTAGAGGGCTTTCCCATCTGAACTGCATGAAATTACGGTGATTGTGGCAACCTGCCTTAATCCTTGTGCAGGACTGATTAGCGCAATAGTTTGTGATTGATTCAAGCACTTAATAACTTCACCAGCAGAGGTGTTTTTGGAAAATAAATCTAGCTGGTAAAAGCAGGCACAAATTGCAGAACCTATTTTGTGTAAATAGGTGAGAATCTGGAATGTAAATGTTGTTGAGCTGTATGTGGATGGCTTGTCTTATGGAAGCTTTATAGAATCGGCAAACAGTTGATTCAAATACAGAGTACAGCGCCCCCTGCTGTAATAATGTGAATGTTTAATTTTATCCTTAATGGCTTTCCTGAATTAAATTGATAAGTGCTGAATTTAAGTTTTGTGGAATGTGTGCATTCCTGTTAACACAACAATAAATATTAAACAAATGAAGAATCAGCAAATTCTAAATTGCATCTTTTATCAGATGTAATTTCAATCCCAAAACTAAAAATATTGGTTTCAGAATGAAATGATCAATTGCATTACTGTTGTAGAAGATGTTATGAACATGTGGGAGATATTTTGAGACCTGTGAAACAGTATAATGTATTTTGCATAATTGCAGAAAACAGGGACCGAACCAAATAAAACATTTTTTGGTTTCTTATCCTTTGTATGTACAAAAATAATTCTGCCTAAGAGTGGAAAATTTTCCCCATTTTCATATTGAGTTGAGCATTTATAAATCATTGATTTCTTGAGCAAATTTATACATTTGTCTTTTTCTTTACAGTTATTCATTTATTACATCAAATCATACTGATATTTCTTTTATTCATTTATCTCTTTAGTATGTGAATATTGAGGCCATAAATGTAATGCACCTACTGTCAACTTAGTCAGAATGGGCTAGGAATAGATTTAGAACTTTGAGATCCTAATCAATCAAGATAATGCACTGTCATATACTGCGTGCATTTAAACACTAAGTTCTGCACTATAATACACATGGTTTTTAACCATCAAATTGTCAAGAAAATTTACCTAATCACTTTTAAACAGGAAGTTGTTATATCCATGCGAAGTGTAGAATTTGAGTTATATTTTTAACATAAATTGCAGTTGCCTCAATTGGACAGTTTAGCATAGCCGTTAGCATCATTGAGAGTGGTCATCTGTGCTGCTGTGGGGAAAAAAAACTTGTAGAATTTTATGTATTTTGTTTCATGTTTGACAAAATTTATTTTCCCCATTTTCATATTAAGTTGAGCATTTACAAATCATTGATTTCTTGAGTTTATACATTTGTCTTTTTCTTTACAGTTATTCATTTGTTGCATCAAATCATACTGATTTTGAACTAATATACAATATGTAGACCTAGCAGACTCCACAGCTGGAATGTTTCGGTTTCTGAGGTAACACGTTCTGCGATACATTTGTAGCGTTCTGTTTCAATGTCCAACAAATTACTTATGGAAATTAGAATATGCTTGGTATAGAATGCAGTCCTCAGGCATTTTTAAAATAAATCTAGAATTAAAATCAGACTGAGATATTGCCATATTCAAAATAAATGGCTTAGTGCCTCTTAAGTAGTAACAAGGGAACTTCATGCTGGTTTATTTATTATTAGCATAGTGTGTGAACAATTTTGGTACTGGAATTTAGAAAATACAAAGGTTTATTCTTGTACCACTGTATTTTGATGTATAAAATCTTACCTATATTTTCTTTGGAAGTGAAGTGCCAATTTAAAACAAAATAAATTGCACATAAAGCAATCAGTTTACTTTTCTGAGCAGCTTGACGGCTTTTGATAAAAATGCCCTTTATGTATTTTACTTCTAGAAAACATCCCCAAATTGATGCCAGAAGAAGGAAGTCTGTATTATCCACGAGTACAGCATTATCGAGAGCTGCTAGACTCCCTCCCAATAGATGCCTATACCCATGGTTGTATCCTTCACCCAGAGTTAACTTTGGACTCCATGATTCCTGCATATGCGACCACAAGAATTCGCAGTAAGTAAAATTATCAAACAGAGTTATGTTAGTTGAAATTTGTTTCTTCATATTGTGATCTCAGTTGACTGAAAATTCAGCCAACTTTACAATTTGAAATTTCTGTAATTATATTTTCTGGAACTCCCATTTTGCTGTTGTTTATTCTGTTGTGGGGTCACTTGGGCAAATGGCTGGTTTATGATGTCGAGTGATGCCAACAGCATGGGCTCAATTGCTGAGGTTACCGTGAAGGACTCCCCTTAACCTCTCCCCTCAACTGAGGTGTGGTGGCCCTCCAGTTAATTTATCACCAGTCATCTTTCTTTAATGAAAGAGTAGCCCTATAGTCCTCAGGCTATGGTGACTTCTACTTTTTTTTGCGCTGTGTCTTTAAAGCCCAAACAAGCTAAGTAAAGTTAGTATGCTGGTAAACACCTCACCTTTTTCTGCAGACATCAAAGAGACCTATTTTGAAGATTACAATAAGTGATACAGTATACTAACATTGCAGAAGCAGTGATTTAGGATTGTTGCAAATTCAAAATATGTGGCTTAATTTAGTGATACTCACATTTACATACCATATAAAAATGAGCTGTGTTAGAAGTAGAATTACTTCATACTGCAAAGCAGTGTGATAACTATTTAATATAGGTACAAAAGCACATTATCCCAGGGTACTTACTGTTTTTGGTACATATTGAAAAAATATGTATTTCGTCAAAGTTTTTTTGTCTTGAACACATGAAGACAATTTGCAAAAAACAAAATGTAAAGGGGAGATAACATTCTGTATTTTATGAGAAGATGATGTTGATTGGTAGAAGTATCGCCATGGAAAATGTACCAGTTTGTTGTTGTTGGATAGTTAACTACAAAGCTTTGATAAAATGTCCTTTTAGAGTATAGTTAAAATATGAAGTACATCAGTAATATAGCTCTGAGTATATCAATTTCTTTCTAAATGTTTAGTTCTTCAGATATTTCGCAGTTTGAAACAATTGGAATGTTGCCCATTGTAGATGCTGATAAAAGACAGACCATTCAGCCCAAATTGACCAATCCATTCTGTAATAATCTATTGTCACAAACTTGTACAACATCCAACTGTTTGTGTTTTCTCTTTGGTAACTACAATTTAATGCATATTCTTATTTGCCTTCACTCTGAATGGCATAGCTTTAGAATCTGAAACAGCACAGAGAATGGCCACTTGACCACACAGCTTCATTTTGGGTCCCTTATTGTTTGTGGTATGTATTAATGATTTTAAATTTAAATGTGGGAGGCCTGATTAGAAAATTTGCAGATGACTCCAAAATTGGCTGGGTAGTTGATAATCAATAGGATGGCTGGGATGATATCAGTAGTTTGAATAGTAGAAAAATGGCAAATGGAATTCATTCTTGAAGTGCAAGGTTATGCATTTGAAGAGTTCAACAAAGTAAGTTATAGACGATAAATGTAAGTACATTGAGCAGGGTAAAGGAAGTGACTGATCTTGGCGTGCATGTCCACAGGTCCTTTTAAGGTGGTAGGGCAGGTAGATAAAATGGTAAAGACAGCATATTGAATACTTGCCTTCATTGGGCGATGTATCAAAAAGAAGATCAGGGATGTAATGCTGGAAGCGAATAACAAGATACTTGAATCATACCTGGAGCTTTGTATAGAGTTCTGGTCATCACATTACAGGAAAGCCTAGTTACTGTAATGGGAATACAAAGTTTATAAGATTGCAATTTTCAAGCTGAGAAACAGATATAAGGAAAGATTCGATAGACTAGGATTGGTTTCCTTAGAACAGGATAAAGGCAGATGACTTATTTGAGGTGTACAGCATAATGGGGGCTTGGATAAAGTGGACAGGAAAGACTTGTTTCTGCTGGAGGAGAGGTCAGTTACTAGGGATTTCAGACTTAAGATGATTGATAGATGGAATAAAGGGGACATGAGGAAAATTTTTTTTGGAGGGTCGTGGGTTTCTGGAATTCACTGCCCAGTTTGGCAGTTGAGGTGAACAACCTCAAATCATTTAAAAGGAACCTGGATTTGCACACTAAGTGATCGAATCTGCAAGGCTTTGGATGAGGGGCTAGTACTTGGGTGGCCACTATAGATATGATAGGCTGAATGGTCTCTTTCTGTGTTGTGACTTTTCTATGATTCTGTGGGTGTTGAGAGTCTATCAGCACCAGATAGACTGCGACAGTTCAAGAAGACAGCTTGACAGCTTGCCAACTTTCTTGAGGGAAATTTGAGATGAGCAGCAGTATTTGATGTTGCCAGTGATGTTGTATCTCATACTAAGACAGAGCTGTATTCTGTTTTTCTTGATTTGGTGTGCAGCAACGTAAACAATTAGTTGGACAATTGTGCTGTGTCTTAAAGCCCAAACAAACTAAGTAAAGTTAGTATGCTGGTAAACACCTCACTCTTTCTGCAGACATCAAAGAGACACATTTTGCAGGTTACAATAAGTGATACAGTATCACTGGACAATTAGTTGTTACGACTTCGAAACTCCGAATCTCAAGTATTGAACTTGAATCCCCGTCCCTTCTGAATTCCAACCCGTTTGCCACTTTAAATCTAACGTGCGCTTTCGTTTACACTCAGGCCAAATTGGAAACACTGAGTCTGAATTAAAAAAACTTGCTGAAGAGCACCCAGACCTACGTGAAGCATATTTAGCAAAGCAGAAGCAAATTAAGGTAAGACTAAAACTTTATTAAGTTTATTTTACTTCATTAAAATGTATTTCTAAATTGTGAAATTATGTGCAAAAAACAGTGACATGACATGAAATCAAATCGATTTCTACTTCAGAAAATACAAGGCAGCAAATGTGCCATGGAGAACTTTTTCGAAATTATGAATTTAAAATAACTTGCCTTGAGTATAATCATAGATTACATGCCCAATATAAAACAAAACGTAGGATCTAGTCAACGTGTCTGGCAGCATTTGTGAACAGAGAAACAGTGTTAAATGTTACATATCATTGGCGTAGCACATCGGGAATAATGGGGCTTGATTTCCAGAACCATAACAAAGGTTAAAAGATTTTAAGAACTACACAGTCATTCATCAATATTTCATGGCTTTTAAAAAAGCTGTCTTCTAATTTCAATCCGTCATCAAAAATACAAGAAAATCCTTGACGTAATAATCTTTTGAGTCCATTATGACTCTTCCTTCAAGTTTGGCTACTTTGCCTTATGACTTGCCAAGTTAGACCACAAAAATCCTTATTCTTTTATAGCCTGTTACTACTTTAATTTTTGTCAATACAGTCTAACTTGTAACATTTTTGGTAATGATTTAATGTGAATAGTGATGAAGTTTTATTCTCATAACTGCATTCAGAATATGGACCCCATCCCTAATGCACCAGAAAATCTTTTGAAATTTAAGATTTTACTTGTGCATTTATTGTATGTCGTTGGACTGACCTGTGTCTGCAGGGTTTGGGTCAAATCCAGAATGCAGGAACTTTGCAGATGTAGTATTTTCCGCAAATGTGATATTTGTTCCACATTATTTCCTGAGATTTACCATAGGGTTTCCACTGATCTCTTGCATATATTAAGAAGCAAAACATTATTCACCCTTTAACTTCTCTGGTATATAAATCACATTCCCAATTTTTAATGGATTATTTTATCTTTAGTCGAAGATACGGGACCATGATAATGTAACCTACTTGAAAAAAATATTCCGTGAGTTGGAAAATGTACTTGATCAAGTGGAGACTGAGCTACAGCGAAGGATTGAGGAAACACCAGGTTTGCATTTGAGCATTTCTTTTCCATAAGACTATGATAAAGGAGCAAAAGTAGACCACTTGGCCATTGAGTCTGCTAAGCCAGTCAGTAAGAACATGTTGTGGTTGGTTGGCTCGCCGAGCTGGTTCGTTGGTGTCCCGCAGACTCTTTGTTATCCTACTGGGTAACATCATCAGTGCAGCCTCCGATGAAGCGCTGTTGTGTCGGAGTGTCGGATTGTCGGAGGCTACGCTGATGATGTTACCCAGCAGGGTAACGAAATGTCTGTGGAACAACAATGAACCAGTTCGGTGAGCCAACCAGCCACAACGTCCAAAATCTGAGCTACAAATCTATTCCAAAACCTTAGTAAGAGCATGGCTGATTTGATAATCCTGAACTCCTTTTCTGCCTTTTCCCCGTAATTGTTTGATTCCCTTACTGAATAAAAATCTTTCGGTTTTGTAAATACTTTGACCTAGCCTCAACAGCCAACTGTGCTAGGGAATTCCACAGATTCACTACTCGAGAGGAAGAAGTTCCTTTTCATCTTTGTGTTACATGTATGACCTATTATTCTGAGATTGTCATTTGATCCTGGACTCTCCCATAAGCGGAAACTACCTTTCTGCATCTAACCTGTCAAATCTCCTAAGGATCTTGAATATTGCAGTAAGGTCACCTTTCGCTCTTCGAAACTCCATTGAGTACTGCCCAACCAATGCGACCTTTCCTGAAAACAGTCTCTCCATTCCTAGGGTCAACCTAGTGAACCTTGACTACCTCCATTACCAAAATATCAGTCATTGGATAAGTGGCCTAAAACTGTTCACAGCATTTCTAGCTGTGGTGTAATAGGTGCCTTGTAAAGTTTTAGCAAGGCTTGCCCATTTTTATATTCCATTCCTTTTGCAATTAAAACCAATATTCTGTTTACCTTCCCTATTACTTGTTGAACTTGGATGATAACTTTTTGTGATATGCACAAGGATTCCCAAATCCTGCTGTGCTGTAGCTTTTTGTTGTCTTTCTCTATTTAAATAGCATTAATTTGCTTACTCTCTGTACATTTTGGTTAATATAATCTCCTCCAGACTCAACAATCATAGTGCAAATGTTTCAGACTGTTCAGCATTTTTCAAGATGTTTAGAAGTCGACGTGTGGCAGGCCATTGACTGTACTCTGACCTGACTTGAGGTGGCGGGCTGTCCAAACTCTGCTCTAGTGGCAGCCTTCCCAGGAATGATTTTGGGAGTTCAGGCCTAGTGTAGACCCATAGAGGTGTGTCGTAGGCCTGAGGGGAAAAGGACGGCTCTGAAGGTACCAGAGAGAGAGGGGGGTGTCGAGGCAGGGCAGGTGGCAAGTGGGGACCTTCAGAAGGCTATTCAGGAATAAAAGAATGCCACTCTACAGGTCTCATCGACCTCCTCCTTCAACTACCATAGAATAATCATAGAATCCCTACGGTGTGGAAACAGTCCCTTTGGCCCAACAAGTCCACATCGACCCTCTTGGCATCCCACCCAGATCCATCCCCCTATAACCCACCTAATCTACACATCCCTGAACACCACAGGCAATTTAACATGGCCAGTCCACCTAGCCTGCATATCTTTGGATTGTAGGAGGAAACCAGAGCACCCGGAGGAGACCCACGCAGATGTGAGAATGGGCAAACTCCACACAGACAGTCACCCGAGGGTGGAAGCGAACCTGGGTCCCTGATGTTGTGAGGCAGCAGTGCTAACCACTGAGCCGCTGTCCAGTCTTGTTAGCACCCCATTTCAAAAAGGGAGGTAGAGAGAAAACAAGGAATTACAGACTGGTGAGCTTAACATCGATAGTGAGGAAAATTCTCAAATCCATTGTCAAGGATTTTATAGCAGAGCATTTAGAAAGCAGTGGCAGGATCAGACGGAGTCAGCATGGACTTATGAAGGGGAAATCATGCTTGACAAATCTGTTGGAATTCTAATGACGATGTAACTAGTAGAGTTGACAAGGGGGAGCCAGTCGATGTAGTATATTTGGACTTTCAGAAAGCGTTTGACAAAGTCCCACACAAGAGATTACTATGCAAGATTAAAGTGCATGGGATGGGGGGGAAGTGTATTGAGATGGATAGGAAACTGGTTGGCAGAGAGGAAACAAAAAGTAGAAATTAATGAGTCCTTTTCAAATTGGCAGGCAGTAACAAGTGGGGTGCCACAGGGATCAGTGCTGGGACCCCAGCTATTCACAATATATATTAATGATTTGGATGAGAAAACAAAATGTAAAGTTTGCAGATGATACCAAATTGGGTGGGAGGGTGAACTGTGATGAAGATGCAGAGCTTCTTCAGCATGATCTGGACAGGTTGGGTGAGTGGGCAAATCAATGGCAGATGCAGTATAATTTGGATAAATGTGAGGCATATTGCTACCTGAATGGCTGTAAATTGGGAGAGGGGAGTGTGCAGCTGCCTGGGTGTCCTTGTGCACCAGTCACTGAAGGTAAGCATGCAGGTGCAGCAGGCGGTAAAGAAGGCAAATGGTATGTTGGCCTTCATTGCGAGAGGTTTTGAGTACAGGAGCAGGGATGTGTTGTTGCAGTTATACAGGGCCTTGGTGAGGCCACACCTGGAATATTGTTTGCAATTTTGGTCTCCTTTTCTGAGGAAGGATGCTCTTGCTCTTGAGGGAAAGCAGCAAAGGTTTACCAGGCTGATTCCAGAGATGCTGGGTTTGACATATGAGGAGAGATTGTCTAGGTTGGGATTGTTTTCGCTCGAGCTCGGACGAATGAGGAGTATCTCAAAGAGACTTATAAAATTCTAACAGGGCTGGACAGGGAAGATGCAGGGAGGATGTTTCCGATGGTGGGTGTTTACAGAACCCGAGGTCACACTCTGAGGATTCGGGATGATTTAGGACAGAGATGAGGAGACATTTCTTTGCCCAAAGAGTGGTGAGAACGTGGAATTCATTACCACAGGAAGTAGTTGATGCCAAAACATCGAATGTATTCAAGAGGCAACTAGATACAACACTTGGGGCAAATGGGATCAAAGGTTATGGGGAGAAAGCAGGATTAGGCTATTGAGTTGGATGATTAGCCATGATCATGAAGAATGGCACAGCAGGCTCAAAGGGCCGAATGACTGCCTCCTGCTCCTATCTTCTATGTTTCTATCTCCCTTTCTTTAAACGGTTTTCCCCTTGCTTCAAGACTTAGTAATTTCCAAAAGTAGTTTAACATCTCCTGCCTGGAGAATTTATATTAGTTCATACTCTCTAACTTTAGAATGCTCCATTTTGAAGGCATGGAAGAGAAAATACCGTTGGTACGTTTGTTCAACCATGTGTTGTCCTCTTAGTCAATATTACCATTACATAAACAGTGCTCATAATCTGTTCAAACTCAACATGGTGATCTGATCTTGGGAAGTAGCACATCTGACCAAAAGAGAGAAAATTATCAATTAGAGTCAGGGAGAATCATAGAGATATACAGCATGGAAACAGACCCTTCAGTCCAACTTGTCCATGCTGACCAAATATCCTAACTTAATCTGGTCCCATTTGGCCCATATCCCTCTAAACTGTTCCTATTCATATACCGATCCAGATGCTCTTCAAATGTTGTAATTATACTAGCCTCCTCCACTTCCTTTGGTAGCTTGTTCCATATATGCACCACCCTCTGTGTGAAAAAGTTGCCCCTTAGGTCCCTTTTAAATCTATCCCCTCTCACTTTAAACCTATGCCCTCTAGTTTTGGATTCCCCTATCCTGGGGAAAAGACCTTGTCTTTTTATCCTACCCATATCCCGTATGATTTTATAAACCTCTGAGGTCACCCCTCAGACTCGAACGCTCCAGGGAAAATTGTCCCAGTCTATTCAGCCTCTCCCTATAGCACAAACAGTCCAACTCTGGCGTCATCCTTGTAAATCTTTTCAAGTTTCGCAACATCCTTCCTATAGCAGGGAAACCAGAATTGAATGCAGTATTCCAAAAGTGGCCTAACCAGTGGCCTGAACACCCACGACATGACCCCTCAACTCTTATACTTAATGCACTGACCAATAAAGGCATACCAAACACCACCTTCACTATCCTATCTACCTGCGACTCCACTTTGCAGGAACTATGAACCTGCACTCCAAGATCTCTCTGTTCAGCAACACTCCCCAGGGCCTTACCATGAAGTGTATATATCCAGTCCTGATTTGATAGTTCCAAAATGCAGCATCTCACAATTATCTAAATTAAACTTCATCTGACACTCCTTAACCTGTTGGCCCATCTGATCAAGATCCTGTTGTATTCTGAGGTACCCTTCTTCGTTGTCTGCTACGCCTAAGAATTGTGTCTGGTTACTTAGTTTAAAGAACATTCAAGTCTAAATTTGGCAGAACTTTGCTTTATCGATGAGGATCTTTACCAAAGTGATGATTTGCTGTCTTTGGAGCAGCTTTTTTGGTCTTCTAATAATTGTTTTAAAAAAATAAAACTTGCATAATACAGTCTTTAATGGAAATACTGATTGCTTTGTATTTTTTTTAAGCAGATGAAGGACTTCAGCCATGGCTCTGTGGTGACTTCTTCAGTCTTGCAGATGTATCTCTCAGTGTGACGTTGCATCGACTGAAGTTTCTTGGACTTGCCAGAAAATATTGGGGAAATGGAAAACGGCCAAATTTAGATTCTTATTATGATCGTGTGTTACAACAGAGGACTTTTCGAAAGGTTTTGGGGAATGTGAACAACATTTTAGTGTCAGCAGTACTGCCTACTGCTTTTCGGGTTGCTAAGAAACGTGCTCCCTCTTTTTTGGGGGCTAGTTTTATTGTAAGTCTGCTGGGAGGAATAGGGTATTTAGCCTTCTTATTCCTTAAAAAGAGACTTTCATAGATTTTGTTGGTATGAACTTACTCAAACTCTTGGTAAACAAAATTGTAGAAGACCTGTGATATCTAGCACTTTGTTGCGGTTATCAAGTTAAAATAGAACGGAATAGAGACATTGCAGTAACTTGTTTTCTGTAGTAACAAAATTTACTGTCACTATTTTATTTTCAAACAGTAAGATTGTAATTTGTGGAAAGCTTAAATGAACATGTACACAACACAATTTATTTATTATAGAACTCCAAATAGGTTCACTTGTATATGTAGCCAATTTCAGGTAGTAAATTGTAAACTGGCAAAACTCCACTATTTATGGGTTACTGCACATTAACAATTCTACAATGCACTTAAAACACCTTGGAACTAAATGTGTGAGTTACTTGGATTCAAAAGTTAGTCAAAAATCTGTTCTCCAACCTGCATGTATCCAAATTCTATTCATGGCTTCTTTTCTGTCTAGCTTTTGATATTATGTCCTTGAATGTATTTTGTGGACATTAACCTTCTATAATCTTTTTCGAGGGTGTGTACACTGTATTGCTTTTACAGTTTCTTTGTTCTTGTTTGTTTGTTAGTTAATTTGAGAATACAGTTTCTATATCAAATAGTCATTGAATAAAGGTATAAAGCAAACAATTTACCTATTTCGTAATCTGGAGATCCTTGACTGACTTTAAAATGACTTACTAGAAGATGAGTTAGATATTGTGCCAGTCATGTCAGGAGAAAATTAAACAGAAACTAGGTGCAACTTCGAGCTGGATAACATTATCTGCATCACTATTTAGTAAGCTCCCTCTTGTGTTAGTTGGTCCTTAGAATTTGGGGATGGATTCTCTATATTATTGCCTGTTTGTCACTGGTATAACATCAGAGGTGGAAAAAAGGGTGTAATTGGCTCCTTAAGGGTCCCACTTCATTTAAGGCCAGGTGGGCTTTCTGCAACCAGCTTCAGGTAAAATATTAGCAGTGGTGAGAAGGTAACCCTTCTCCATTTGACCTGATGTCCTCAACTCACCACCCAGCACTCTCCTTGAGGTCTTGTATTTTCCCAGCCGGACACTCTCAGTTAAATTGGTGAGGTAAGCAAGTGATGTCCTTGGTGATGCATTTCATCAGTGTTTCTCTAAAATCTGTTATGCTAGTTGGAATCATGACTGACTCAACTGCCCCTTCAGATCTTATTGAAAAGTCATCACACAGAATGTCTTCTTAGTGAAACTTCCCATAGGGACACATGAGCAGAAGACGATCAGAGGCAATTCTTATCTCCTTGCCACTTCCCACTTCATTATAAGCATCAGCTCAAGACAATGCAGTGTTGAAAATGAGTTTGAGTTAGAAGCACCAAGTACACAAATGCTAATTGTATTAAGGGAACAGCTTGAAAGTTGCAACACATGCTCAAACCCAAGTTCAAAGACTGCGAAGGGAAAGTTGTTACAAAAACAGAAATTGCTGGAAAAGCTCAGCAGGTCTGGCAGCATCTGTGGAGAGTTAACATTTCAGGTCAAGTGATCCTTCCTCAGAACTAGGGAAGTTCCTCAATTCTGAGGAAGGGTCACTCAACTAGAAACAACTGATTTCTCTCCAGGTATTTCTGTTTTTCTTTCTGATTTACAGCATCTGCAGTTCTTTCCTTTTTTCAAATTTAGGAAAAGTTGTTTGCTGAGTGTTATCTAGTATTTATAGACATACTGCACAGTGTGTGGTGCTGTCTTGGTGCAAAGGTAGCATCCCTATCTCTCAGCCAGGAAGCCCAGGTTCAAGTCAAATTCTTGTTTTCTCTGCTGTCATTAATTTTTACCCGACTGCTTGATTGACATTCAAATGAGCAGATATTTCCTTCAGTTAAATTCTGGGAAGATGAAATTGATTGTCTTTGGTTCCTGCTATAAACTCTCTTAGTTGGCTATCAAACCATCAGTTTGGTTGGCAAACTGAGGTTGAACCATACTGTTTACAAATGTGGAGTCGTATTTGGATCTAAGGTGAGCTGCTGATGGACATTTGTGTCAGGATGATTTCCCGCTCTGTGACATTACCCATATTTATTGCTCACCTGCTACTGGAATCTTCACACCTGCCCTTGTTACATTTGGACTTTACCAATGCCCTCATAGCTGGACTTTCAAATTCTACCCTTTGTAAAATTGAGGTAATTCTACACTCCTTTCATGGCCTAACTAGCACCAACTTTTGTTCACCCATCACTTCTGTGCTTACTGACTTACTTCCTGGTAAAGCAATGTGGTGATAGAACATAGAATAGTACAGGCCCTTCAGCACACGATGTTGTGCCAAACTTCTACCCTAATCCTAAAGTCTATCTAACCTCCACCCCTACCTTATACTATCATCCATATGTCTATCTAATAGCCGCTTAAATGCCCCTAATGAGGCCGACTCCACTACCCTCTCCGGCAATGCATTCCACGCCCTGACCACTCTCTCAGTAAAGAACCTACCTCTGATGTCTCCCCTATATGTACCTGCACTCACGTTAAAACTATGCCCCCTCGTAATAGCTACCTCCATCTAGGAAAAAGTCTCTGGCTGCCTACTCTATCTATACCTCTGATCATTTTGTACACCTCTATCAAGTCACCTCTCATCCTTTGTCGTTCTAAAGAGAAAAGCCCTAGCTCTCTCAACCTAGCCTCGTAAGACCTTCCCTCCATTCCAGGCAACATCCTGGTAAATCTCTGCACCTTTTCCAACGCTTCCACATCTTTTCTGTAATGAGGCGACCAGAACTGGACACAATACTCCAGATGCAGCCGAACCAGGCTTTTGTATAGCTGGAGCATAACTTCACGGCTCTTGAACTCCATCCCTCTATTAATGAAAGCTAACACACCATATGCCGCCTTAACAACTCTATCCACCTGGGTGGCAGCTTTCAGGGAACTGTGAACATGAACCCCAAGATCCCTCTGCTCCTCCACACTGCCAAGAATCTTTCCGTTAACCCTGTATTCTGCTTTCAAGTTTGTCCTACCAAAATGAATCACCTCACATTTTTCAGGGTTCAACTCCATCTGCCACTTCTCAGCCCAGCTCTGCATCCTATCAATGTCCCTTTGTGACCTAGAACAGCCCTCCACACTGTCCACAATACGAGCCACCTTCGTATCGTCTGCGAACTTACTAATCCACCCTTCCACGCCTTCATCCAAATCATTTACAAAATCACAAATAGAAGAGGACCAAGAACAGATCTTTGTGGTACACCACTTGTAACTGAGCACCATGTTGAATATTTTCCGTCCACTACCACCCTTTGTCTTCTAAGGGTGAGCCAATTCTGAATCCAATCTGCCAGATTTCCCCCTATCCCATGCCTCCTTACCTTCTGCATGACCCTCCCATGGGGAACCTTATCAAACGCCTTACTTAAATCCATGTATACCTCATCCACGTGTTTGGTCACCTCTTCAAAGAATTCAATAAGGTTTGTGAGGCATGATCTACCCCTCACAAAGCCATTATGACTATCACGAATCAAACTGTGCCTTTCCAAGTGATCATAAATCCTATCTGTCAGAGCTCTTTCCAATAATTTGCCCACCACTGACGTAAGACTAACTGGCCTGTAATTTCCGGGGTTATCCCTATTCCCTTTTTTGAACAAGGGAATGACGTTTGCCTCTCTCCAATCTTCCGGCGCTATACCTGTGGACAGTAACGGCGAAAAGATCATCGCCAAAGGCCCTGCGATCTCTTCCCTTGCGTCCCATAGAATCCTTGGATAAATCCCATCAGGCCCGGGGGACTTATCTATCTTCAAGTTCCTCAAAATTCTTAGTACATCTTCCTTACTAACATCGACCTCCTCTTGCCTACCAGCCTGTTTCACACTGTCCTCCTCTACAAGTAGGTCCCTCGCAGCTGTGAATACTGAAGAAAAGTATTCATTAAGGACCTCTCCTGTCTCTTTTTTGGCTCCGTGCAAAAATTTCCTTTACAATCCTTAACATTTACATCCTATTTACCTGGCCTTTCCTTTCCCCAACTTGGTGATCTCCTACAGCGACACAGGTAATCAGAAACGCTCTTATTTCAAGGAGGTTGGAGTATGAGAGTAGAGAAATCTTATTGCAACTCTTTTAAGGTGCTGGTGAGTGCACATCTGGAACACTGTGAATAGCATTGTTACCCTTATTTAAGGAAAGATAATATTTCGTTGGAGACAGTTCAGAGAATGTTCACTAGGATGTTCCCCAGTATGGAAGAATAGTTTTAGCAAAGGCTAAACAGGTTGGCATGATCTTAGAATAAAGAGGCACTAACAACATTCAGCTGATGAGTAACTTCTTCTCTGAGGGCTGAGACTTTGGAACTTTTGCCACAGAGAGCTGTGGGGGTAGAGTCCTTGTGTATATTGAAGACTGAGATAGATACATTCTTGATCTGTGGGGGATCAATAGTTACAGGGAAAGTGCTGAAAGTGGATGCGGGATCAGCTGTCATCCTATGAATGGTGGAGCAGGCTAGAGAGGTCCAAATAGCCTATTCCTGTTCAGATTTGATATGCTTCTAGCCCTGCAACGTTCCAAGATACTGCACCTGAATTCTGACCTTCAGGACTACAATTGTCTTATGTGGCTTTGTGTCAAATTTTGCTTTATGGTGTTTTTGTGGAGTGTTTTGGAACATTTTACTATATTAAAAATGCTACCTCTATACAAATTGTTGTTGCCCAAATCTCCTCTAACCCTGATATAAATGTTTTCATTTACCAAAACATTTTGCCACTAGATGTCAGTATTTTATCAGTACTGTCTGAAATATTTCTTCGTGCTCAAAGTAGGAAATTTGAAACAAATGAGGATTGTTATAAAAATGGAAAGTAAAATTGATTGTTAAAGTAAATGAAATTCTAAATGGCATATTTGTGATCACAAGTCTTCATAGTATTGAATATTTATCTTGTTTCAAATTCTAATTATAACATGAAAAAGTGAAGTTCTGTGGTCACTGAACTTTAGAATGGTGCATTGTGTATTCAGTTTTGGCATCCTTTGAATGGTTCTAGTGTCTTTACCCCTAGTAAGGTAAAACTATCCAGTTGAACTTACTGTTAGACTAACACCTCAACTAATGTATATTTCAGATCTTTAGAGGAACAATGTTATTAGCTAAAGACCAGGACCTATAATAAAATGTGAACCTCGTCAGGAGTTTTCAGTTTGTAAAGTTATCTCAAGATAGAATATATCTGCAAGTACGTTGCATTAGAAACAACTGTCTGAGTTAACAAGTATCACCGTGTAGAATCCTAACAGCAATTCTGGGGTTAATGAGTATCGTAGAGTATGTGGTAAATGAAACAGTTTAAAGTAGAATTCTTATAAACTGATTCTTTAAAACCACAAAGAAAACAAAACGGATATTGAAACAAATATGTCAAGAAGCTAATACTCAGAGTCCAGTGTAATTTCTTAGTTTGAAATGTCTTTGGCTTGACCTTTCATCAAAAGTAAAGCATTCATACCTCTCTAACTGTCTGCAGTGCTAGCTAAGGGTTTTGCTCCTGGCCCTGGCAAAATTTCAGATTTGCATACTGCTTAGTCCTGTTTTAAATTTAACACTGTAGTTACTAGATTACTTTTGTGTTTTTCTTTACATCCTCATTCA